GGTAGGCAAGTAAGTATGTAGTTAAGTAGGTCACTAGGTAGGTATGTAGTTAGGTATGTACATATGTAGGTAGTTAGATAGTTAGGTAGTGGTGATAATTCGGTTATGATAAAAGGAGAAATTTGATTGAATACGGTATAGCTTGAGTGAATTACAAGAGGATGGGAAAAGGAGGACTGTAAATGTATGAGTAAGTCGTGAGATAGGCAGATGGGCGAAAAAGCGAATTCGCCCAGGGTACATGCAAACGAAAAACCGCTTACCACCTAATTTTCATGCGGTATTTGCGGTGAGAAAACTGTGCTGATCCACCGCAGAGTGATCCCTCCATGGCCGGGAACTGAGGGTGATTGGCGATGTGGAGACAAGTGGATGTCTACGACGGACAGTCGGCCTCTGCAACTGTCCGCCCGTCCTATCCACATATCATTCATTCGTTTTCGCCCAAATATATCATAAATCACCATGTGTAGCCTGTATAAATGGTGCTATGTGCATGTTTACTTGTGAGTGTGTGCGTCTGTGCATTTGTGGTTATTGGTTGTGCCATACTCTGCTCTGTTCGCCGCAGAATAGGCCAATCGCAGCAAACAGGGTCTGCAAAGGCAACTCTGAAAATGTGAATGAGAGGTCACGTTTGATAAGGTACAGAGGCGAAAGCGGGGCTTGACACGGTGGACTTTGATCACACAGCTTCGGCAGTACTCGAGCCTGAAATAATGCAGCATGTCCAGCTCGACGAGGGCCCATCAATCCGCATGGCGACAACATTTATGCTCAGGTCGGAGCGTGATTTGTTAATCGTCGAAATGCAGACCAACATGGTGCAACCCTCAATTTGGTTACACCAAATAGGCCGACTTGATCTCTTTTTAACACAATTTGGTTGTGTTCTCAAGATCTCGTCACTTCGAAGGGTCGAAGCTGGGTGTTTCTCACAGAAAAGGCCCATGAAACGTCTGGAAATGTAGAAAATTAAGGCGACAATGTATGACTAGGGTTTTCATTTCTAAGGAAAATTTGGTTAGAAGCATTTCGTGCTTTGGATCCACTGAAAACCGATTGAAGAGCAACTGGGAGTGAAGACCTTTCGATTTTGCGAAGACGTCCTCAGCTCACTGTCCTGATACCCCGATTAACGTGCTAAGCTCTCTTTTGTCGTATAACAGACATCTTCAGAGCGAGAAACCATACTTCACGAAAAAGTGCAACAATATACTGAACCGAATCTGCCCATTTCATGTAGGTAACTTTGCAACCTTAATAAAGCATTAAATGATTTGGTAGCTCGCTTCATGCTGACCCAATAAGTTTGCAAATGAGGGGAGTTAATTACTGAAAATGAAGTGGGTAGGACGGCAGCTATTTTTTTATTAAATAA